AAAAAAAAAAAAACAAAAAAAAAACCCACCCACACACTTTTCTGTAGTCCCCTCAGAAATGTCCATTTTTTTCCAGGAAAAAAACCCCTTTTCTTTTCCAGATAAAATGTAAATTTTCAGGGGAAAAGCATTTTCTCCTCATTTCCCCTTCGGGGGGAAAAATGGAAAATTTACATTTCCAGAGTTCCAGCATCAACTCTACACGGATGCAACTAGGGAAAGGTGGCGGAGTCGGATTCAGGTCTAACCCAAACAGCTTCTAAATCTTGCCCAATGTGTGGGGCCTTTTAAATTCTTTCCCTTAGATTTTAGCCATAGCTGTGCCGGAATGTGGAAGCTCCTCTTGCTTTCTGGCCTTTTAGCGATGCAACGCAGCTATTCCTCAACCCTAAGTTTGGTTTTAACTCTTGGCTCTGTTTTTTGCCTTTTAATATTAACGTGGTAGCCATCAGCATCCACAAAATCCTCACCGAGGAATGCTCCGCTTTGTGGCCCTCGCTTTTATCTCCAGCACAGAAACACCGCGCGCACCCTTTCCTCTCAACTGATAGAATAAACAGGTGCCCTGGCTAAAAGACTTCACTACTTATTTATAAGGCCGCTCTTCCTTTAATTGTTCAAGTGAGATTAATCACAAAAAATCGCCCTTTACCGCTTGCTGCTGCCTCGTCTCCTCGCTTAGCGTTTTCCGCCTCTCCTCGGCTTGGATCCGGACCTGCTCGTTTTTCAGCTGCTCTATGGCTGCCTCGTATTCCTAAATCGGAAAGAGGAAGATGGATATATATATTCATAATGATCAGTAAAAAAAACAGTTGGTTCTAACCTATAAAGCCCTGGGCTTTATCTTAAGGATTGTGGCTCCTTTTACAAGCCTGATTGAGTGTTCAAACCATCAGGCCTTCCTCTCAGTCCCACCACCTTCTCAGGTGCTAAAAAACAGTTGGTTCTAACCTATAAAGCCTGGGGCCAAGCTATCTCAAGGACTGCGGCTCCTTTTACAAGCCTGATTGAGTGTTAAAACCATCAGGCCTTCCTCTCAGTCCCAACACCTTCTCAGGTGCATTTGGTAGGAGAGGGCCTTCTCGGTGGCTGCTCCCAGACTCTGGAACTCCCTCCCACTGGAGGCCAGCCTGGACCCATCTTGACTATCCTTCCACAGGCAGGCAAAGACCTCTCGATTCAGGCAAGCTTCCCCTCAGTGATGGTCTGAGTGGGTTTTAGAAACAGATCGTTGTACCTTCCTGTTTTGAATGTGTTTTGGTGTTGTTTGTGTTTTTTTAGTACAATATTTTTAAAATTCTTTTCAGCATTCGTATACTGTGGTTAGTTTCTAAATATTGTCTTTTAATGATGGAAGCTGCGCCTTGGATCCCTTTAAAGGAGAAAGGCAGGGTAAAAACGATTTTGGATAAATAAAAGAAGGCATCAATGAACTGATGTTTCACAACAGTAGCGTTCTTAGCACCAGGGGAGCGACACCCTATGTGTCGGAAAGGAGTCTGCTTTGATTGCAAATCCGAGAATCTCTGGGCAGGTAAAATAATTCAGCAAAGCTGTGCATTTTTTTACATAAAGAAGCTCTTAACGGTACAGCCTCGCAAAGAGACGAAGGAAATAAGGACGCAACCCACCTTCAGCCTCGCCTGCTGTTCTAGCTGCAGGGTCTGTTCCTGCAACTGTGCCATGTTCAGTGCCTCTTTGGCATGCCCTGGAAGAGACAACAGGCGAGTTAGCGTCTTCTCTCGTCCTGTGAAAGATCAGGCCTGTCGCCGGCTTCCTTCCGCTTTGAGAGCGAGGGGACAGGAGCTTTGCACGATGTGGCCAAGGCTCAAACGAGGACACACACACCCTGGACGAACCTTAAGCCCACCTCCCATAATGCTGACGGACAGTACTTCCAAACTTGGAAGGTGGTCAGAGATCTATAGAAGTGACTGTTTTTTTTTTTTGGACTATGACTCCCCCAAAATTGGGCAAGAATGATCTGAAAACCCAGCTCATTTGGAGCTCTAAATTGAATGGCCTCCACCTGTTTTCAAAAAAAGTCAGGATGTGCCCAGTGCTGGTTAGTCATCTGCAAATGTCAAACTGACAGCGCATAAGCATCATAACAAGCCACAGTTATTTATGATTATTCTGTGATGAGACGCACATACTGCTGCTCAACCTCTGTGAGCACCATGAATGCCTTCAGTCATTTTTAGGGGACAATTTGGCTTCTACATTGCAAAGCATTTCAAAACTCCCAATACACAATGTTTCCTTCCTTGTGGGATATTGAAATTTTGGTCTTGAGATTTTATTTCCTCTCCGCTCTCTGGAGATCTTTCCTTTCTTAACTTGGGGTCTCTTAGGGAGAAAAAGTAGCATGTAAATATGGGGCATTCTATAGGCAAAACGTGGGGTCTACCAGTGAATTACAGCCTATCTAACTGGGGATGATTAGGCTCTCCTTCAGCGTGGCAAATCTCTCTGGGAGTTGCTAAGCATCAGCGGCTAAGACAGAGTCACGTGAGGGCTGGAAAGGGCAAAGTCCCAGCCCGGGACTGATGCAACGGCTGGCAAAAAAACCTGCAAATCGCTTTTGTCAATCGGAAAAGACATCAGCCAAGCACAGTTTGAGAAAAAAGCCCTCAGGCTCACATTCCTGGCGATTTCAGCCTCTTTTGGAACCTGATCCTCGCCTGGCCTTTTGCCAGATCTGAAAGTCTCCTTTGCTTTTAAACCATTGGAATCCAAACTCCCCCCCCTCTCCTCTACCCTCCTCTTCCCTTTTTTTCTCTTGTGTTGTCTCTCCTACATTGCAAGCGTCCAAATAGGGAGATTTTTTTGTTTGTTTACTGTGTTCGAAACCTTCTCAGCAGAGAAGCGGGATGAGAGGAGCTGCTATGGATCCCTTCAATCCCACGAATGTGTGTTGCTCAGACCACAGGGAAGAAAAGGTCCAGATCACAGTTATCCCAAACCGCGTCCCACAGAGAGGCATGCTGGACTACTTGCTCGTTGGATTTGCTGAATGAGGATGATGGGAACCCAGGGCCATCTGGAGATCCCTACACTCCAGGGACTCCTCCCAGATCCAGTTAACCCTTTCCTGCCCCTCCCTCCTTCCCTCTAGGGTTCTCCCCTCCCCCTCCCGTCCTTTTAGGGGACAGGGGCTTGGGGTGGGGGCCCCTTTCCCAGACCCAGTTACCCCTTTCCTCCCCGGCCCCTCCTCCTCTCCCCTCCCAAGCCTCCTCTCTCTCTCTCCCCCTCCCTCTAGGGTTTTCCTTGGAGGGGATGGGTGGGAAGGCGGATCTCCCCTCTACCCCACCCCGGGGACGAGGCCTGGCCTCCCTCCGACTCACGGGAGGCGTCCAGCTCCCGGGCGGCCTTGGCGGCCCGCTCCAGCCCGGTGGGGTCGAAGTTGCTCCATTTGTCCTTGGGGCGGCTCCCTTCGCCCGCCCCGTCGCCCGAGGCCGGGCCCGGCGGAGGAGGCAGAG